AGAACGCAAACACAGACACATACTCAATGTGGCACGAGCACTAAGATTTCAAGCAAATTTGCCTTTGACATTCTGGGGAGAATGTGTGCTAACAGCAATACACCTTATCAATAGAACTCCGACAGTGGCTAATCAAGGTCTGACACCCTATGAAATGTTATATGGCAAACAACCTTCTTATGCTCACATCAGAGTTTTTGGATGCCTCTGCTATGCCAAAACACTCACTAAGAAAACTGATAAGTTTGAAGCCCAAGCTGATCGTTGTATCTTCATTGGGTACCCTCAAGGCCAGAAGGGATGGAGAATATACAATCTACAAAAACAGCAGTTCATGGTTTCAAGAGATGTGATATTTTATGAAACTGTATTCCCATACAGTGCAGGGAATGAAAGTCCCACAAACGCTCTTCTGGACACGGTGCAAGTTCCAGAAATAGAGACTACATATCACAATGAGATATCCCATGATCCCTTTGAAGGCAAAATCGCACAGGAAGACAATAACTCAGAAATAGAAAATGAAGGAGTTCTTGAAGAAATTGGAGTTAGTAGCCAGGGGGAGTCAAATGCTGAAATTAGAGCTTCAAATGACAAGAGAACGAGACGGTCACCATTGTATTTGAAGGATTACTATTGCAATGTGGCAACAGCTAACCCCTCATGCATGACACCAAAGACATTATCCTCTCCTGGTAAGTTCTATCCAATTTCACACTATATTAATAATGATCAATTTTCTTCTAACCACAAGGCATTCCTTGCGGCAATCATTACCAATGATGAGCCTAAAAGCTATTCAGAGGCAGTTCAACATGCACATTGGAGAGAAGCAATGAAGTTTGAAATTACAGCTTTGAAGGACAATCATACTTGGACACTTGAAACGCTACCTTCTGACAAGAAATTGATTGGTGGCAAGTGGGTTTATAAGATAAAATATAAACCCAATGGAGAGATAGATAAGTATAAAGCACGCCTAGTGGCGAGGGGCTATACACAAGTGGAAGGGGAAGATTTCACAGAAACGTTCGCACCTGTGGCCAAGATGACGACGATACGATGCCTCTTATCAATTGCGGCAGCAAAGGGGTGGGATTTGCACCAAATGGACGTGACTAATGCCTTCCTTCATGGAGATCTCGATGAGGAGGTATACATGGCAATCCCCCCTGGATACAAGGTGCCAAAATCAAATCTTGTATGCCGACTACGCAAGTCATTGTATGGTTTACGACAAGCATCAAGAAACTGGCATGCAAAGCTATCTCAAGCACTAATTAAATATGGCTTTGTTCAGAGTTCCTCTGATCATAGTTTATTCACATACTCAGCTGAACACATTTTTTTGGCTGTGCTAATATATGTGGATGATCTTGTGATAGCTGGAAATGATAACAAAGCATGTTGTAGTTTCAAGTCATACCTAAATAGGTGCTTTCATATGAAAGATCTCGGAGCTCTCAAGTATTTTCTTGGTCTTGAATTGGCACGTGGTTCGGAAGGTATTTTTGTTTGTCAAAGAAAATATACTCTTGATGTTCTAAAGGAGTGCAAAATGCTAGATTGCAAACCATCTGGTTTTCCTATGGAACAAAATCATAAACTGTCAATTGATACAGGAGAATTATATGCTAATGCTCCACAATATAGGAGATTAGTTGGACGTTTGATTTACTTAACTATTACGAGACCAGACATAACTTATGTGGTCCACATATTGAGCCAGTTCATGCAGAGTCCACGACAAGACCACTGGGATGCAGCCATACGTGTGTTACGTTATTTAAAGGGATCTCCAGGTCAAGGGTTATTCTTACCCAAAAATAATGACTTGCGTTTACAAGGTTTTTGTGATTCAGATTGGGCAGCATGTCCCACAACCAGACGTTCTGTTACGGGATATCTGATGAAGTTAGGATCGGCTCCCATATCTTGGAAAACGAAGAAGCAAACAACAGTATCACGATCATCTAGTGAAGCTGAATATCGTGCCATAGCTCATGCCACGAGTGAAATAATTTGGCTGCGTAATCTGTTAACCACATTACAAGTTTCATGTGATATGCCAACACCACTTTTCTGTGACAATCAAGCAGCACTCTATATAGCTGCCAATCCAGTTTTTCATGAGCGGACAAAACATATTGAAGTGGATTGTCATTTCATTCGGCAACATCTACAATCAGGCAATATTGCTACAAGCTACATACGTAGCGGACAACAACAAGCTGATATATTTACAAAAGCTCTAGGGACCAAACAGTTTCATCATCTTCTGTCCAAGTTGGGAGTTTACAATGCTCACTCCCCAACTTGAGGGGGAGTAATAAAAGACAACAGATCATTCTTATTCCTTTTCTGTTTTTATTTTATCTTATCAAGTAGTTGGTTGTGGCTTGATCTTAGGAGCAGTGATTCTTATCTTTCTGTTAGAGTTTGTTATTTTCATATTTATATATGCTCAATGATGTAACACATTCTATATACGAAGAAATACATACAACAGTTTCTTCCAAAGATTTATTATACTTAACATTTTCCATTCCAACATTAAACTTGAATCAATAATTGCAAACTAAATAATTAACAATACAAGGTAACTGATTATATGAACTAGGATCAAGCTCAGCTGAAAACAGTGTGTATTCGCTTGATGTAACCATTCAATGTTGTGAAACTAATGTATTCAAATTTTCGCCCCTCCTTTCAACCCCTCGAAAAAAGTGTTAGAAAGCATCATGTCAAGTAATTTCACTTTCGGATTGGATAAGAATTAAAACAATGTATTTTCTTTACTACCCTTACCTTACAAAAATTAAATGAATAGATATAACGTGGATTGCAAGGGTGTTGCGAAATCCGAAATCACGATTAAGGGGATAATAACACGGGAGCTAACCCACGAAAACTATGACTAGTGAGTGATATATTCACGTCAAAAAGAAAAGGTTTGGGTCAAGTCGATCAATCAAAGACAATACAAAATGTGAAAACAAAATTGATGGTAAGAATAGTCCCCCTGTGTTGGTTCCTTCAATTGGTAACGACAAATTCCAAAAAAATCCAGAAGTCACTCTTTGTTCTGTCTCGTCTCCTTTTATACAGGTTACCACTCAACACTCTCGATAACACCTAGAATGTAACATCATAAAATAAAAAAAAATGAAAGTACATGATGTATACATTTGTTCACTACTTAAAAATTTCAACGTTCTATCTAAACGAGAAAAAAGTGAACGTAAACGATTAAAAGTACAAATAGACTGAATTTTCAATCAATGGCTGCAAATTATGAGCTAATCTCAACTGCTGATACAAGGAAAAGATAACAGTTAAAATTACTGATGTAAACCAATAACTAATTTCACAATTTAGGATTTTACGTGTTAATTACAAGCTTTGTGTCCAAGAATACAAACATCAAGTTATTTCCTTCTTCGGACTCCCAATACAAACTAATAGCAGACATGAGATTATTCAATAAAAATAAAAATATGGTACAAATAGAAGTCTATATGGCTTCATAGTCATCTGCTGCAGGGGGGGCATCAGATACAGCAGATAACACAACAAAGGCACCAAATAGGACTGTGATGACAGCAGTGAAGTTGACAAGCAAAGCCTCAGAACCATATTTTGCCAATCCTGAGTTCTCCAGGAATGTGAGCTTCTCCAGAAACCCAAGAGCAGCAGTGCCTACAGCCAAGACATATACAAACAGCCCAAATAGCACATGCCAAGGAAGTGAGTAGCGTCTAATGTCTGGTGTCCCACCAGGGAAGAAAAATATTACAAACCCATATATCCACTGCAAGTAACCAACACAATGTTAGTAGATAATTGAGTTTCATCCAGATTTTCAATCCAGAGCTTGCACCATAGAATTTATGCCTAGTGCTCAAACTGTAATAAGCCCAACTTGTCATATTTAAGAGAGGGTTGAGAAAGCAATGCTTAAGTAAGGTATTGGCAGTAAACAGCAGAGTCAGTGACAGACTGAAATTATAAGCTTAAGGACTTGAATATACTTTTACTCTTTTAGCCCTTCAAATATGCGATAAAATTGATTTTGGTCACTCAAATTAAAAATTGATTTTAATAATTTTTTTATTTGCCAAAAAAAAATTAATCCTTCCACTCAAACGTTGTTACTCGTTAATGAAACTGTACAACAAAATTCACCTCTTACTTAATCTGTTGCACAAAATCTATTAAAATATTAAACTGAACTGATGTTACACAATTTTATGTTTTTAGTGGTTTTGAGAAACTTAAATAAGTATTTTTAAGAAATTATAGAAACTTAAAAGATCAATTTTAAATTTCAAGAATCAAAAATAAATTTACACCAAATTTAAAAGACTATAAACTTAAGACTATAATCATATCTTGTGTGTTCAAGGAATACTAAAGTTATAGGATAGTTTAGTCTTATCAGTGGTTTACCTGAATGCCATAAAGGACAATAACCCCAATTCCAAGCCATGAATGCAAGCTGTACAAATTGGCAATCCCACTTTCATTATGATACTTGAAGGCAGTATAAATTCCCACTATTCCAAGTATTAATGCGATGGCATGGAGAACAAGATGTATCAATTTCTTCACTTCCTTCTTCAGGGGAAGAGCTTTGTAACTTATAATAGCTGCAATTTTTTTACATATGAGAAATCAGAGAAATAATTAGTGGGTCAATAAAATCAAATGGAATTGATTCATAAAGCAGTTCCTTGTAAACGTATTTTGATTACCTTCACCTCCAGAAACTATTAAGCCAATAATTATAAGAACTGGATGAATCTGTACAAAGAAAATGTACGTAAGATGTTGGACTTCCCAAAAAAGTAATAGCACAATTTCAACTATAAATACTCTATATATATCAGCTTGTACTGATAAGTATATTTATTCTCGGCCAGAAGGAAACAACAGATGCAAATAGCACACAGACGTGAGAGTATGCGACACTGCAAAATTCAAAACTCTATCACAAAAAAATAGACAAGCAGCACATAGAAGTGTCACGTGACAGCTCATTTCTCATTCTAATACGAAACAGATAAGCACGTGGGGTCCATGTCCATACCACTGGTTAGAAATTCTGGACCCCATGAATTATTATATTAAAAAATAAGTAGTAGGTAGAGAACGTGGCTAACAATTAGTCAAAACATAAAAAATAAATAAATTAATTAATTAATCTTCAGAAGCTCAAAAAATCCATTTAATCCTGAAAGTTTGTTGATAAAGCATCGTTCTGAACTTCTAGTGTTGTTTGAGAGAAACGCAGAGTTTCCAGTTAACTCCTCTGAACCTTAGAAGGCAGAAGAACTTAACCCACGAAATAGCAGAAGATAAAAAATCACTTAGAATCCAATTTGCAATTGCAACACCTATAATCACTAGAACAATCCTTTTTAAATACAGTTTGAATGTGGAGCTTTTCCTATCTTAGACTGTATCCCCTTCACCATAATTTTGTTAAAAGAAAAAAAGCAAAAGTAGGCACCAACGCAGGTAATTTAGCCATCAGAATTAAAATGGCTCCCCATAAAAACAAAACTTGTTTTCATTTAATTTACCAAAAGACAAATGAGATCTGGTACTGCAATGATGTGAATGACTTTTAAATATAAAAACAATATCTCATATTTAATTTATTCACAACTTGCAGCAGCCTCGTACGGATTATACATATAGATATATATCACGAGGTACATGCACTCAGTTAAGAAATGTTTCAGTAAATAGTTTTTTTTTTCCTTTTTGAGGAACAGTAAATAAAATTTGTAATAAATGAATCATATCAAAATCATTCAAATGTTTGTAAGCTAAAGAAGAAAAAAAAAAATCTTTAATGCACCAGGTAGTCAAAACAGTTGGAATACATTCAATCGCATTAATTTTATGATTATTACTCAAACAAACAGAAATTATAACCAAAAAAAACCTTAAACTAGCTGCATCTTACGTTTCAAGCTATTTTTAAATTGATAAAACTTATCTGGAATTGGTATTCTTCTCCAATGAGAATTGTAATTTTACTTCAATATTATACAAATTCATTTAATGCATACTATGAAATTACGAATACTATGAAAGTAAAACTCTAACTCTAATCGAAAAACAGGACCAAACACATATTAGAAATGGTAACTAAGTTTTATAATTTTTAAGGATTCAAAATACATAGCTTCTGATGAGTTTTTTTTTTTTTTTTTTTAATTTTAAAACAGATAGTTATAAGGTTAATAATTTAGGAAAATTAAGTAAATATACAAACGCCATTTGAAAAAGCAGCTTACAAGTTACAGCTACAGTTGTGGAACAGCCTAACATGTTATTTGTATGCATATAAGAAACAAAAATAAGAAGAAAAAAAAGAGAAAAGAGAAATTGAATGAGGGTGAACGGGGGACGTACATTGAAGATGAGGGCTTTGTTGGAAGAATTCCATGCCAAGCCACCCCTGAAATATAGGTTCCAAACCAAGACGAGGATGATGGCAACGATGCCCAGAAGGTGAACCACGTATGTGAAGGGAAGAGCTGATACACCCAAAGCCATCTTCTTCTTCTCTCTGCTCAAGGGAAGGGAGTGTGGCTGGAAGTTCAACAACAACCGTAGACCAACCCCTTTTTATTTGACCTTCCCAGGCCCATCCAGATCTTTTTCCTTATTCGCTCGATGTTTGCCACGTGTCTCTATCTCATACCACTCTTTTACCTTTTCAATAAATCAATTATATTTTCTCATCATGATTCATGATTCATGATTCATGATTCATGATTCATGATTCATGATCATCATGCCTCGGATAAGGATTCAAATTGATTTTTACCAAGCAGGGAATTAGCTAGAAGTGGGTCCCACTCCCTTCATGGCTTCATTTCATTTTCTTTGGTATCAGTGTGGTTGGTTTAACTTGTAGTTTGTTTGGAACCACGTTGGTTCCCAGCTTTTTGCATTGACGAAGTTAACAACAGCATTAAGCATTTCATTTGCACATCCATAGCAGCCATGTCATCATGTGCGACTCTAGCCACGTTCTCTCTTATAAATATAAAATAAATAAATAAATTTTAATGACTTCTCTATTTCCACACAGAATTTATTAAATACTTTAACATCTTCGCGATGTTTATTATTTATTTATTTACCAAAAAAAAATATAACACGTGCATTTATGAAATAAAGTATTTTAATAATTATACATGTTAATAAATTAATAAGAGATATTTATTATTTTTTAAAAATATATTATGCTTCAAAACAAAGCTGGTAGAATGAGCTGATTTAAACAAACTGATGAGATAAATGATTGAATTTAAACTCTAAATTTTAAATGTGAATTAAATGTATGTTTTTTAATCTTATGAGATAAAACCCATGAGATAAACAAGTTTATACTAAGCTAGCCTAGTCGGACCACCTATTTGCTTTATTTAATTTTGACAAAGTGACTAAAATATGTTTAATAATCAAGAGACAAAAATTAAATAAATTAATATTTTTTTGTCCAAATAGTTAAATATAAAACACTTTTTCACTATAATTTTTTTTATAAAATGATAATAAGATTGATATGTTATATATAGTTAGATTTTATATTAAAAATAATTACAACAATTGTCACATCATCCATTCTTATTTTTTTAAAATGTAATAATAGAATAGAATAATTAATTATATTTTATTTAATGCATTAAAATAAATATGTCAATAAATTATTTTTTACAACTATTAAAAAAATTTGATTATTATGACCGATTTCAAGAGGATGCATGATTTAGCTCTCAATAATCCATAATCACATAAAAAATCTAATTAAACGTGCTTGAGTTAATTATTTCATATGACGTGTGGCGTGAATGAAAAAAGGGTGTGAGGAGGGAAAAAAAGGTGAGTGGAAATGGAATCAACCTTTTAGGTGTATTGAATTTTGTAACCCAACAAATTAGGCTTTGGATCATGATATATATATCTCCTTTTTTTTTAATTATAAGTACACCTTTTATTAAAAAATAATAATTGAATTCTTAAAATGTTCTTAATTTTTTTTTAAAATTTATACTCCAAATATTTAATTTAATATTATTTTTTACATACCTTTTTTTCTTAATTTTACATGCACTTCTTTAATTTTTCTTCACTCCCATCTATTGTAATAGGTAATTTTAATTCTTTTAGTTTTACATTATTCTTTTTCCTTCCTCTTTCAATTTTTTTCACTGATTTCACTATTCGCATAATACTCTAAAATAGTGAATATGTATTTTTTATAACACTAAACTTAATATTAAGGTTTTTGGAAAGGTGTAAGGAAAGGAAGTGTTAGAAGAAAAAATGTGTGTTTAATTTGATAGAAACTGTCAAGGAAGCTACATATACTTAGAATGTTGTCGCCTACCAGTTTTATGATTTGGGTGCATGTGAAAAAGTGAAAGTGATAAAAAAATAAGAGAGTAATATAAAAATTTAGAGAACTAAAACTGTCAACTGAAATTGGTGAGGAATTAGAAGAAGATAAGATAGTACATGTAAAAATTAAAAAAAAGAAGGAAAGAAATGTGTGAAAAGAAAAAATAATAAATTGAAAGTTAAAGATGTAAAATTAAAAATTTTAAAAATAAAAAAAATTATAAATATTTTAGAATTTTTTTAAAAATAAAAAAAATGTACTTATTAAAAAAAAGGAGGTGTATATATCATTAACTTTAGGTTTTTCCTGTTGGCCCAATGATAAGGCCCAAAGTTTTTCCAATGCTCATATAATGCAATACTTAACCCATAGAACCAATATCATCTTTAAACTGCCCTGAAAATAAAAATTGGAATAATTAGATTCAGAAAATTCAAATTAGTTAAAAAATGAATTACCGGTCCAATTAAAGTCCAAATAGAAAACAGTGCAGAATATCAACAATTAAGCACAAATCAGAGATTAAAATAAGTACAGAAAGGTAAGTAAATAAGGGAAAATAATGACTCA